GCCTCGGTTCCCGGGGCACACACCACTGGCCCCCTCCCCGTCACCGCCGCTGCTCAGCACTCTGCCCGGCGTCCTCGCATTTCACCCTGATCGGTGGGGACGCCGACAATCACTGCTCAGTCCTCCCGACTGCAAAACCTTGGTCACTGTCCGGCCGGGACAGCCATGTTGAAGCCGAACCCCGACCCACTAGCAGTACTACTCCCGGCAGCCCCCGCGCTCGGCCCTCACGTGACTCGATCAAAGGCGCCGTAGGGGCGGGGTGGAGCTGAGAGGAGGGAAGCGGAGAGCGACGGAGGCCGGTTGGGAAGTTGGAACCGGAAGTGGCTTTGACGGCGGTCCTGCTGGGCGGGGCTTGCCTGATTCTTGTCGAACTCTCTCAATGGTTCTTGGCAGAGCCGCCTCACGTGCGTGGGCACAGGTACTGTCACGATGAGGGAGCCTCCTGCTTTCCTCCCTTGCTTGTTTGACATCGCAAAGCCTCTACCTGACAACAGCAAGCACCTGATGTGGCCGTAAGCGCTGCTTTCTGCCCCCTCGCTCTGCCTTTCCCTCGTCGCACGGCTTGGGCTCCTCTGGCGCTGCCCCGGACTGTGTATCCTTTGAACACAACCCTGCTTTTGCAAATGGACTGCCACGTGTGTGAACTCAACCACTGAGCAGAAAAGCGTGCGTCTGTAAGTGCTGCGACGAGCTCGACTGCAGGGCAAACTCCTGAGCATCTCTGGCAGGAGCAGGGAAAGGGTGTGGCTGCCACTGTCCGCGTCCCTGTCCTCAGCCTCTTCCATTTTACCCTCAGCTAGTGAGTTGCTTCAAGTGGTGGAGGTATGGGAAGCCAGTTTTTGTGTGCTGTGTGCTGTGTGCTGGCCTGACTTGGTTTTCGTTTGTACGAATTGTTCCTATAACTAAGAAACGAATGAAACTTTTGTTACTTACTGTGCCATTCCTTTGTTTGGAGTACCTCCGTGTTATATGCCAAAAACATAAGGGAAGAAAAAACGCAACGCTTTATCCTGGTTTAGTGGTGCCTTGAGTAAATGAGGCTTTGCAAAAATCACTATTTCAAATTGCCTACTTTTTGGTACTCAGGTCTTTACCATGACATGTTGGGGGTATACCGGGCCCCTGTAAATTGAGAAATGGGAAGGAGAGAGTGACAACAGGTAATAATAATACAAAAGAGATGTGCAAGTTGAGGATCTGGAAATTAATGTTCTTAAAACTATCTGTACCTGTGTACCTGTTAGAAATTCTCATATACTCAGCGCTACATTCCATAAGTCTTGAATACTTCTAATCTCAATCCCTTACTTTTTTTCTGTAACTGGGCTCTTTTGTTTTGTTTTGTTTTGTTTTGACAGGGTCTCCCTATATAGTTCAGATCAGCCTTGAACTCACAATGTACCCAGGCTGGCCCCAAACTCATGGCGATCATCCTGCCTCAGCCTCCTGAGGGCTGGGATTACAGGCATGTGCCAATTGAGCTCTTAAATGTACTGTTTTCTCTAGTAATCTCCTAAAAAGAAAAGTTTAAAAGGCAATTTACCAAAAAAATTTTTGGAGCTTGTGTATATGATTTATTTCACTTAACATGATGGAGTGAAGGTACACCCATTTTCCTACACGTTACTCAAGTTTACCCTTCCTCGTAGCAGAGATACCCCACTGGCTGTAAATGCCATACTTCCTTTATTTATCCATCTGTTGATGGACGTATACCAAGATTTAGCTATTATGCATTATGCTGCTATAAACATAGGTATGTCTGTATCACATGATATGATGTCTTTAACTCTTTGGGAAAGATACTTCGAAGGGGACTAGCTGGGTCAAATGAAATTTCTATATTTCAGTTTGTGAGGCATCTCCATACTGATTTCCGTAATGGTACAATTTACTTTTCTACTGAAGGTACAACTGCCTGTTCTAGGCTCTTGGAGAAGAATTTTCAAGGATGGGTTAGCCTGGGTGGGTTTGGAGGCATACAATTCATACACCATAAAATTCACCTCTTTAAAATGTACAATTCATTGATTTTTTTTTTTTTTTTTTAGTATACACAGGAAGTTGCACCACTGTTACTACTAATTTCGGGACATATAATCACTCCAAAAAAAAAAGCCTAAAATCCATTAACAGTCATTCTCCACCTTTTTCCCTACCTCTGAAAATTACCACTCTGTCTCCATTTTACTCATTCTGTGCATTTCATACAAATGGAAGCATGTACTTTGTAGCCTATCGTGGCTGGCTTCTTTCACTTAGCAAAATACTTTCTTTTATCCATAATAAGGGTGTGATCAGGAACCTTGTTCGTACTAGGCGAATACTATCACTGAGCTATATCTTCAACTCCAGTAAAATTTCAACTCATATTGTAGTGTGTATCAGTTTTTTTTTTTTTTTTTTTTTAGTATACACAGGAAGTTGCACCACTGTTACTACTAATTTCGGGACATATAATCACTCCAAAAAAAAAAGCCTAAAATCCATTAACAGTCATTCTCCACCTTTTTCCCTACCTCTGAAAATTACCACTCTGTCTCCATTTTACTCATTCTGAGCATTTCATACAAATGGAAGCATGTACTTTGTAGCCTATCGTGGCTGGCTTCTTTCACTTAGCAAAATACTTTCTTTTATCCATAATAAGGGTGTGATCAGGAACCTTGTTCGTACTAGGCGAATACTATCACTGAGCTATATCTTCAACTCCAGTAAAATTTCAACTCATATTGTAGTGTGTATCAGTATTTCATTCCATTTTTATGTCTGAATGTCTGAGCCTATATCAGTTTCTGTCTTACAGACTGACTTTACAATCTAACACCACATTCACACACACTGTTTCCAGTAAGTAACTTCACTCTAAAATTTATTTCCTAATATATCCCAGTCTCTTCTTTCTTCTGGCAAAATATTGTTTGAACTGTGGAAACTCCTTCAAAGAGATGATTTTGCAGTAGCTATAGTAGCTGTCAGGAGTCTTTCAACATCGCAACAGAAATTAGACTTATAGTAGCTTAAGCAAAGGGCTTATGTAACTGCAGGTAAAGGTAAGAAGGGAAGAGCTACAAGAATAAGGACTTCAAGGACTGTCTTACTTTCTTGTTGCTGGGACAAAATACCTAACACCCACAAGTTAAAGGAGGAAAGGCTTATTTTAGCTCAAAGTTTGTAAAGGTTTCAGTCCATGGTCAGCTGACTCCAAGGTAAGACAGGCTGACAAAAGGAAATAGCAGGGCCCAGAATTTAGCTCAGTGGCACTGTGCCTGCTTCACAAGCACAAGGTCCAGAATTTGATCCCTAGTACAAAAAGGGCAGGGGAGGGTAGCAAAGGAGAAACAGTTCATGGCATGCCAAATGCCCATCAACTGACGAATAGATAAAAACGTTGGTTTTTTTACACAATGGAGTACTACTCTGCCATAAAGAATGATGAGCTTCAGACATTCATAGCTAAATGGATGGACCTTAAGGCCATACTCTTAAATGAAATCAATCAGACACATATGTTTAGTTTGTTTGTTTGTTTGTTTTGGTACCAGGGATCGAATTCGGTCCTTGTGCTTGCAAGGCAGGTGGCAGGACCACTGAGCTAAATCCCTGGCCCTGGATACATATGTTTAAATACTGCATTATTTCTGTTGTGAGAAACCAAAAGTGAAAATAAGGACTAAAATGTATAATAGATATTGGGAAATAGGAAGAAAGTATTCAAGTGGGAAGGGGAACAAGGGAGGAAGAAAGAAAGGGACCAGAAAATAAGTAAAAATGCAAAAAATAGAAACAAAGCTTTTTGTACACGGGGCGGGAAAGGGGCTTGAGGGAATCAAGGGAAGGGGAAAAAAGAGGCAATATGTGCCGTGTACAGGTGCAAATTCCCTGTGACGAATGTGATCATTGTGTATACCTAGAATGTGCCAATCAATGTTTTATTGTGTGTGTGTGTGTGTGTGTGTGTGTGTGTGTGTAACAGTCCGTAGCATAGCAGGCATGAAGCAACAAGAAGACTTCCTTTTTGTTTCCCTTTTATTTCATCCAGGCTGCCTATTGATGCCAACCATACCTAGGGCAGGTCTTCTCTCTTCTTTAAGTCCCTCACCGACACCCAGAGCTATGCTAAACCATTCAGTGTTTATCAGGTGTCCTACACCCATGGTCCAGTATCACACATCCAAGATCCAGCCACTCCTCCAAGTCCTACCTGTGAGCAAGTGAGGCTGTGAGGGGACATTTAGATCTAAGCCACAACAGGAACCAAATCCTGGAACTTTGCATTACAAGACTATCTCAAATCTGTCATTTTCTGTTTGCTTTCATTCTTCATGAAGCCTCCCTCCTTCCTCATGGTAGGGCCTCCCCACATTCCCAAATCATACCATCTTGGTTTAACAAGTCAAGCAAACATGAGGCTTTTCATTTCCAGCATCAATATATAGAACCCAGGGAAGGCCTCTGCTCTGCCCTGCTTGTGTCATATGCCTTTTTCCTGAACCTGTTCCCAGGTATGATCAACAATCTGATGAATGCTGCTGCCAAGAACACAGAAAGGTAGGCTTGTGTACTACAGTGGGTCCTCATGTTCCCTATTCCCCATGGAACTTCTGGGTCTTCCCCAAAGTCAGAACAATCCTGAATTTTTTTTTTTTTTTTTTTTTTTTTTTTTGGTTTTTTGAGACAGGGTCTCACTATGTAGTTGAGGCTGACCTGGAACTCACTATGTAGCCTTGAACTCACAGTGATCCTCCTGCCTCAGCCTACCGAGTGCTAGTATTACAGGCGTGCACCACCACGCCCGGCTAGGATGAACATCCTTAATTGACTCAGCACACACAGGCAGCTATGACGGGGCAGCTAAAGGGCCTCATGAAACACTTCCAGAACTGCTGCAGACAGTGGGAGAGTAATGGAATAAGTATGCTCAAAGTGAGGGAGTGTTTTAAGGAGATCACTGGCAATTTGTTTTTACCGTAGTGAACTGTTTTATTATACTTTTTATAGACAGGGTGATAGGACCTATGACTAGAAAAATGGGGAAGGGGAAGTTTACTCGCCAACCAAAAATAATACCCATCACTTACTACCCACTACCTGTTGCCTTCTCAATATTCATACACACATTTCTTCCCATATGTATGACTTGTGTGTGTGTGTGTGTGTGTGTGTGTGTGTGGTGCTGGGTATTGAACCTAGGATGTTCACACTGAGTTACACTCCAAGACCTTTACAATTTTGTAATTAATTTTATGGGTACATTTAATGTATACAGTGTAATAACATTCATCATTGGAAATTTGCACCTTTACATAATCCATCTCTGTTCTTATTTTTTCCCCATTCCCCTGCCCTCCTTTCAACCCCTTCCCCCCCAGCTATAAGACTTTGTTTCCATTTTTTCTTTTTCTCATGTTAATTCCATTCCCATCTTTCTTTTCCCCTACCTCTCCTGTCTCCCCTTCCCCTTTGCACCTTTTCTTCCTATTTCACAACATCTATTATACCTTTTAGTCCTTATTCACACTTTCCGTTTCTCACACTAGAGAAACATGAACTAGAACAATCAACAAGTGTGATCTCTTATTTAAAAACTTCTGCACAACAAGAGAAACAACCAATAGTATGAAGAGACAATCCACAGTGTGGGAAAAACTTTTCACTGTCTCTTCCTCAGACAAAGGACTACTCTCTAGAATATATAAAGAACTTTAAGAAAATCAGAGCCAGGCTTGGTGGTGTACGCCTGTAATCCCAGCACCGGGGAGGCAGAGGCAGGAGGATTGCTGTGAGTTCGAGACCAGCCTGGGCTACATAGTGAGTTCCACGTCAGCCTCAGCTACATAGTGAGACCCTGTCTCAAAAAACAAAACAAACAAACAAAAAACACCCAGAATTCCCAAATTTAAAGACCCAATACAAACATGAAATGAACAGACATTTCTCCAACAAAGAAGTAGAAAGAGCAGATAAACATATGAAAAAATGTTCAATATCACTGATCATTCAAGAGATGCAAATGAAGACAACACTGAGATTCTACCTCAACCCAAAAAGAATGGCTGCTATCAAGAAATCAACCAATAACAAATGCTGGAGGGGCTGTGGGGAAAGAGGAACCCTGCTCCACTGCTGGTGGGAGTGCAGACTGGTGCAACCACTGTGGAAATCAGTATGGAGATACCTCAAAGAACTAGGATTGAAGGTCCCATTTGACCCAGCTATTTCCCTGCTGGGCATCTTCCCCAAAGAATTAAAAGAATCTTACCACAGCGATATATGTGCACCCATGTTCATAGCAGCACAATTCATGATAGCTAAAACTTGGAAGCAGCCCAACTGCCCATCAACTGGAGACTGGATATATAAAATGTGTGTGTGTGTTTTTATGAAATGGAGTACTACTCAGCCTTAAAGAATGAGAAGCTAGAGACATTTATAGCTAAATATGGATGATATATGATTTTAAAACAGTATTTCTTCCCAGTAATTATCCCCTTTAAAATGGAAAACAGGCTCATCTTCTCCCTAGAGGCATATAAATCAAAATCACTGTCCCATCCAGTTCTAAATCCAAGGCATGATGTGTGCTCTTCTCGGTCAGGTCTGGATGTGGTTCCTCATAGTCCTATCATCAATGGCAAATTTTTTGTTTGTTTGTTGTGATGGGGCCTTGCTATGTATTCCAGGCTGGCCTCAAACTCTCAGCAGTCTTCCTGCCTCAGCCTTGCCAGTGCTGGGATTACAGGCATGAGCCACCCTGCACAGCTACCAATGGCAAATTTTAAGTGAAGAAGACCTCAGTAAGAGATATGGGGAAAGCAAGGCTAAATAGGGTCTTTACCCAGCAATGCCCAAGAATGGGTAAGATGAACCCAGAGTCTAGTTCAGTCTCAAGGAAGAATACTTTTCAGCTGAGGTTGCTTACAGTCTTTGAGAAATCCTAGAAATGGACCTCAGCCCAGAGAGAGATCTAGAATATACTCTCAAGGGCATTCTCTGCTTGCAAAGTGGACACCGGTTTGGTTATTCTGGCAACACAGACACCCGGAGTCCAGGGCCAGTGAGCTTGTGATTGAGCCAGAAGTGATCAGGAGGGGTGCCAGGCACGATGGTACACTCCCATCATCCCAGATTCTAGGAGGCTAGGAGGATCACAGCACCCCGCTACCAAAAACAAAACAAAACAAAACAAAAAGAGTGGAGGCAAAAAGAAAAACCTCTATTCCATTTTTAGAAAGAGGTATTTAAAATGGTCATTGGCAAAGACAGCAGAACTCCTTCTCTACTCAGTGGAGTCAGTCTGCTTGTCAGGTATTCCTGATTCCTGCGTGTTGGGAGAAAGTCCCTTTGTACTCCAAGGGCATTCTGAGACAGATGAGCAAAGTCGGCAAAGAATAATCTCTTGAAGTCTACCCACTCCTTCTTTGTATAATTATAAAGGTCTTGGTATTATTTCAGAAGATTCTCATGAAGGAACTTTTCCTTTCCAGCGTGTTAGTCGACCATCTTCTAAAATGTTGTCCTCATCTACATGATTAAAACTGAGTCACTGCCATTTCTACCTTCTAGCCATCAGGAATGAAGAAAAAAGTCCTGTTTCTAAAACCAGCATGGCTGGGCGTGGTGGCACACACTGTAGTCCCAGCCCTCGGGAGGCTGAGGCAGGAGGGTTGCCGTGAGTTTGAGGCCAGCCTGAGCCACATCGTCAGTTCAAGGCCAGCCTGAACTACATAGCGAGACCCTGTCTCAAAAAACAAAATACAAAACAAGAAAACAAACAAACAAAACCCCACATAATTAAATGAATGAATGAATGAATGAATGATTTTAAAAATCTACCATTCAACAAATTCATGCCCCACCAGCTGGTCCACAGGAGGCTTGAAGACACAGCTGTACGGTCCTATTGCTCAATGAAAAGATCAGATGAACAAGAAGAATGAATATGAGGTGACAGAGCCTGCACCAAGCAGCATGGGATCTAGCTCATCGCACGCCTCTCGTTCTCCGACTGTCCTGGACTCCGGCCCTGTTTACATCGCCCGTCCTGTGGACAGTTCACTATGTGAGTGTGTGAGGTGCTGGGGTTGCCCACGCTTTGTCACGTGCCTACCCACAAGGGCAAGAGCACAGGGCCTGTCACTAAAGAGGAGGAGGCTTGTCGGGTAAAATACCATACAGCCGGCGCCACCTCAAGACGTGAAGGCCTTCTGAGAACTCTGACATCGGGCAGTTTCGTCGCTGTATGAACAGGGTGGCCTGTACTTCCACGAGCCACAGATGGTACAGTCTATAGCTAGGTCTGTGTGTGTGATTGCAGAAAAATGTTTTAAGTTTATAACGACGAAAGACACGTTGCCATCGATCCCTCTCGGAGTATTCTCTTTGCATGGGACACACTTATCTCATCACTCCCACCCCTTTCTGAAGCAGCTGAGTATCTTTAGTTGTCAGGTCATGGCTGCCTCCGTGTCTTGAATGGACAAAAGCATCTCCCTCGCATGGTCATTTTGACTTTGGACAAGAACCACAAATCACACGGTGCCGGATCCAGTGAGTAAGGTGGCTAAAGACACACTGTAGAGTTTTTACTTGACAGAAATTGCCATAAAGGGTTGATCAATGAGGTGGGATCAAAAAATACAGTGACTATTTAATGTTAATGTTTAATGTTTAAATATTACACGGACATTCGTGCTCCCTCAAAAGGCTCAAAATGCTGCCCCTTGCTTCAAACTCATGCTTCTATAGTTCTTGGCCATGTGTCTTTTACTGTAAGTTTTTTTCTAATTTAAAAATTCACCAGGGCCAGGAATTTAGCTCAGTGGTGCCACCACCTGCCTCGCAAGCACAAGGCCTCCAGTACCACCCCCCCCAAATTATACATATCTTCATAAGGCTTGGTAGTGCACACCTAGAATCCCGGCACTCAAGAGGCTGAGGCCCACGAAGATCCTCCTGAGTTCAAGGCCAGCCCAGGCTACATAGCAAGATCCTGTCTCAAAAACAAAAGAGAAAAATACATATAAATGTGTGTGTGTGTGTGTGCGCGCGCGCGTGTGTGTGTACTATGGTAAATACAGAAGCCAAACGTATAATTATTATCATTATCACATTTATGTTCTGTACATAAAAATTTTGTTCTATACATTTATTTACCTGGCTGCTTAATGGGTTTCTCGATGTTCCCACAAACACATGAGAAATGCATTGTCCCGTGACACAGCCATGGCGGGGATGTGACGGCAGTGGGGCTGTTCAGCTCCCCCTATAATCCGCAAGGCCCATCCCTGTTTATGGGATCTGTTGCTGAGCAAAATGCCCTTGTGCAGCATCTGACTGCAATCACGGTAGCACAAGCAGTTAGGGACCTCTTCTCCCTGTTCGGAAGATGAGACCCAGCTTCCCTTCAAGAATCCCGTAAAGCTTGTGTTGTTCCAGTCAGTACTTATTATTTATCTGTGGTACTGGAGATTGCACTGAGCTACTTCCTCAGTCCCCTTACCCCTTTTTTTTTCTTGAGATAGGGTCCCACTAAATTGCTAAATTGCCCA